TCCTCAATACTCGTTTTTCTTGATTTATTTAGTTGACAATTAGCACGTTTTTGAATTATCTCTCTTGAATATGTTCTGATTCATATGATTTATGAGATAATTTATTTAAAACCATAGAATATTTTATTATAAACTTGAGTTCCGGTACCGGCATTTTTTTCTCGTGGTCCCTGCTCCAGCTCTGGTGGCCAGGGTCAGAATCGAGATTAGTCTCGCACATCTCTAATAGGAATATATGTCATTACAAGGTTTTACAAATCGTGACATGGCGGTATATGCGATGCCAGAATTATTATTTATGCTGTGGGATGTCAGCCTTTTTTTGCATTACATTTTGTAATTGCATTCGCGTATCTCTGATTTTTCAGGACTAAGAATGCATTCGACAGCCAATCTTTTTATCGCACTCCTGCTAGTGATATCGATTGATGGTTTCGAATTGGAAAACAACAACGAGGGTGTCTATGAGCAGTCGATGTCCAGTCATGGCCTGGCTGACTGCTTCGTATGATATCATTTACAAGGTGATCCTGATGCGCTTTTGGCCAGTACACTGAAACCACTTTGTCACGTGCCAACATCGTTCCCTAAAACGTTGAGCAGCGGTTGGATAATGGATCCTGGATGTGTTGCTTCGACACAGCCAAGCACTTGCTCGTTACATATTGGTGCTCACTGCTGCTATCGAAATTCGTTCAAGAGCATGGGATCAGGTGCGCAGGGATGTTATGACAAGCTCGACCAATGGATTGCAGATCCATGAGGTATGTTCAGATTTCCGAAAAAAGAAATTGCCAAAATTTCTGAAATTTCCATCAGGTCTATAGTCACATAGCAATGCAAATTAAAAGTTTCCAGAAACATTGAAAACTTTAGGAATTTCAGTAATTCCAGTAATTTCGGCAATTTCCATAAGTGCTGAGCCATGGAAATTTCTGAAATTACATAATTTTCGGAAGTGCGGAATGATTTGAAACACAAATACTTGAAATTTCCGAAACTTCTGAAATTTTCTTTTTTGAAAGTCTGAATACTGCTGTATCCGTATGAAAAAGACTTTGAATGACATTCTACCATTAGCCAAAAAATTAGTCCATTTGATTGAATCGATGCGGATATATTTCATTTTTCCATTGCGGTACTATTTATGGGGCACCCTGTAATACTTTCGATGATCCGACCTGATCGTAGTATTTGAATCTACGACTATGGCTATGTCTCGATGTGTATGCTATTGTCGTCTACTATCGGGATTATACACGTTTCTGGCTAATGAGGAGAGGGATGATTTCTATCTCCTAATCCACAGTAAATACTATAAAAGTTTCTTTTTAAATAAAATACTATTTACTGTTCGTTTTGTTATTGAGACTGATCTAAATCAAAGAAAAGAAATTTATTTTTATAATAGAATACTCACTGTTCACTTTTGTGGTCAGATGACCTAAAGTCAAAGAAAAAAGATTATTTTTGTGTAAAAAAAAGACTTACTTTTTATTGAGATGATTAGATGATATAAATGGAAGAAAAAAAATTATTCTTATAAAATAATGCTCATTCTTCAATGAACTGATCAGATGATATTAAAAAAAGAAAAAAAAAGTATTTTTAATTAACAATACTCACTGTTCGCTTTTTCCGTCAAATGATCTCAATAAAAGAAGAAAAAATATTATTTAAATAAAATAATACTGACTGCTCACTGAGATGTTCATGTGATAACTACCGTCAGTAAATCGCCACTATACTGATCAGCATAATGTGCGCTATTCCGACGGTTTTGTGGTGGGGTGTGCGTGGATGTGATGAAAGAGACAACCCACAGTGACTCTCACGTCCACATCCACTCACACCCACACCCACACCCTGATAAATTCTATAGCTATCGAACGATATGTCAGTTTGGATTGATTTGAGTCTAGAGACGTTATTCGATCGACTCACTGAGGCACCGTCGCCACTGTTTGATGTCTTATATTTTATTAACAAAATTTCTCTCAAAGTACAAATCTCATAAAGATTTGTTTTCATATTTCAATAGTTTCACAAATGTTTCGTTAATTTTCTCTGTTGAAAATTAATCAACAATTTTCATTTTCGTTTCGATAATTATTTAAATGAAGATTTCCTAAGAAAAATAACTGTCGATCAATTGCGGCAATACTCGATAAGAAAATGAACTATTATTCGAAAGATGGATCGATCTTCATTAATGAAAATCTTTATTGTTTCATTTTCAAAAATAAATTAATGTAGGCCATTATGGACAAAAGTTGGGTATGGGTAATTTTGGTATCCATTCGATATTAACTAACGGTGGAGGATTTGGTATTAATAATGGAGGTCCTCTCTTTATGGATGGTTCAAGTACCAATGGCGCTGTGAGAAGAAGAAATGCATGTGTTAGTATCCATCCAATGTATTTCGGAAGTTGAATCTTCATCTTTGTTTCAAAACAACAACCAATACCATGTAAAAAGAAAAATATAAATGTTGGAAATAGAGTTGAGACATCATCAAAAGCAACAAAAGCTACATGAACATGAAGAAGACCACTGATAATAAATGTTGTTAAACCTTCAATTGTCGAAGATGAAAATTTCGAATGAATCGGTTCAAATATCGATTCTTTTAATACAGTCCCAATAAATCGATTGTATCTTTGACTCCAAAATTCTCGCAATGATACACTGAATAGTGGAAAATTAGTAAATCATTCAACTGTATATTTATCTCGAGTGAAAATACGAACGAGAATGATTAGTGAATCAAAAGTATATGAGGTTGTTATCAATGATAAATAAAATAAAAAAATTCTTGTATAATTAAATCGTGTTTCACAACTAATAGCCCAACGATAACTCCAATGATTTATTAACAATTTAACTGGAATTAATATCAAATAATATTTAATAGGCCATTCATCTCGTTTTGATTTTAAAGGTAAAATAGGCAAAAAAATCCAAAGAATTTTGAATAAAAAAGACCGAAATGTTAAGAATTTATCGATTGAAAATATTGTCAAATGAATTAAACGAATTGATATCATCCAACAAAGAATTAGGATCATCAATGATAATGAATCATATTGAGGAAAATTTTGACAAGTACTATAAGGAAATGATATACATGGAATAATTGTTAAAATAGTTCGAACTAAAGTATTACAAATAGGACGAATCAAACAATAACATATTATTACATGTCCAAACCAACCGATAAGAACAAATGGAGATAGCACCATGTTAACGACAAACTCAATTCCTTTTTCTTTTCGAAACAAACTCTTTTGTTATTCCTATTTATATTGCAACTTGTATACTCACATTACAAACTCATATCATACTTATATCATTCTCTTTCTTTTATCAACAACTTTGCTTCATACTTTCGACTTGAATAACTCAGAGAGAACAAAAAAAATTATCGTGTCATTCATATTAATATCCAGACTAATTTGTGCACAAGCATCTCGGTGAAGATACAGAAAATCAAACTAGTTTTATGCGAAACTATTTCATGTCATTACTGTAATCGTATAGTTAGATTTTCAAAAAGATCTCGAATGTGAACAGCTAGACAATGTTGATCCTATATCCTTGATTTTCTTTGATCGATTCTAATTCGAATACAGTTTCGATTATCATAAGAATCTCATGTTCATCTTACATTTCACTATGTTTACATATTTTGACAAATGATGTCGTTGACATATTGGCTGTGCAATCGAATGCATTTCTTCTAGAATGCTCACTTGATAGGTCGTTTGTTGCCTAATTAAAATTTTTTGAGCTAAATCTTTATCGAGACTAATTGACACAAATGTATAGAGTCAAATCAATTTCTTTATGAAACTCGAAATGAGAAGCATGTTGAGCTCTGTTTTCGACATAACTGTACCACGGTAGACAATTAGTCTTTTATTTGAGATACGTAGAGCTTCTTGTTCATGACAAAGTTTTTTCCAGCTTTTGATACACATTACGCATGAATAGATGAACAATGAACAAACGATCACTATTACCAGTGTGACAAGCTTGATTAAAAAGTCAGTAGAGGAAAATGTCTTTCGAATACTAATAAATGGCGTTCTTTGCCTGATATGCTCGATTGAAATCGTGAAGCTTATTTTCTTCTTGGATTAGGCAAAGAAAGAAAAAAAATCCTGAAATAATATGAAAGTGATACTTCTCTCTCTCTCTCTCTGACTATGGGAATAGAGTGTTGCGTATGCAAATCTGAACTATTAACTCCATAGCACTCGACGTTAGAATATCCGATGTGTACAAATGAGTTTGATGTGCTCGATAATTAGGCAGTTCCTATGTAGATTATTGGCATAGTCATCGTTGCTTTGGAGGGCGTGGGCGTGGGTGTACAGGAAATGAATACCCACACCTACACTCACACTCCCACACCCATGTTGGGACCCAAAGATGTGCAAATCTTGGACGGATTCTAAAAAATTCTTCGAGACTCTCAAGAAATGAACAAGATTGAGACGATGATTTCTTATTCGAGAGTGAAACTTATGTTGTAGGAGCAGAAGGATATTTAAAACCACTGATTCATGCCTTCGTGTAGCAATAAGCAATTGTAACTTACACTTATTTACAACACGAAAAAGATTCTTTCCCGTTTCTAAAACACTGTCTGTCAGGTGTAATAGTGTGTTAAAAAATTGACTTTGTACTATCAGTTGAAGATAAAATTATTTTCTCCTCACACCTTCACTTAATCTTTTTTTTGCATAGATCATCATGAATCTTTCTTATTCAAATGAGAATATCAGTCAGTCTATGATATGCAAAGTTGACTATTGATAATGTCTTGAAAAAGAAAAATAATTACGCGTATTCAACTTTTGTTATAGCTTAAGGTGCATATCTGCGTTAATGACGATAGAAAAAAGTCTTTATACATAAAATTTATTCTTTTCTTGTCATTTTCTAAGATATTTTTTTCATACTATTGTGTGTAAATTACAAAAAATTTGAAAAATGAAACAAACGATGCTACGGATACTGTTGTTTATTTTGATTAATCAATGTTTAAGTCAAACAGGTTTTCCAAAACAATTTCAAGCAATATTGAATATCAGTGGATCACGTTCTTGGGATTCACCATTTCCAGGTGTTAAACAATTATTGTATGATTACAAAAATTTAAGAGTTCGTTTCGATATTCAAGGATCGCAAGCACAACAAAATGAAACTTGGATGCTTCAATATAAACCAAAAGGTGCTGAAGCAGATTCAGTAAGTAGGAAATGATTCATTATGAAAAAAAAAAGATTAATCGTGAAACGTTTTTCTAGCCAGCTTCGCAGGGTTATACAATGTTTAATTTCAATCCTGATTTTCCGTACTTCACAAAAGTAAAAAGACAATTTTTCTTGTTTTTCTCTTCAAACAATTTTTTTCAGAACGATTGTTGGTATAGAACAAATTCAATGATTGATATAGGCCCATTTCCAGTCAGTTGGTTGCATGGCGTAGAAAATTATATTGAAATTTACCCATGGTATCCGTTACCACCAAATCTTATTAATAAGGGCGAAGAATGGATACCAGAACTTCAACTAAATGCAACGGTATGTTTTCCTATAATTGAAAACTGAAAGAAAGTACTTCTTTAATATATGTAGTTCAATACGAATGTCGCATTTTGAGGAACTTTTGAGAGAAACATTAGAATTCTACTTATTCATTGCGGCTTAAATTAATATATTGAAATATTTGCAAGTAAATAACATGCAATAAAAAGATTTTCATTGTTGTAGAGATATGATTCACCGGAAATATGTGATTTAATACACTCTCGTATTGGCAAAGTTCCATGTTTCAGTTATTTTGAAACAAAAGATAGACCAGTTAAAACCATTCAAGCACGTCCTGTTTCTCCTGAATCTTTCGATAATGATGAGTAAGTATATATTATATGCCTTTAATGAGAAAAAAATAACTACATATTTATCCATAGATACCTAACTACAGTTTACCTATCATTTACAAATGGTATTCCGTCCCAAGCTGAACATTTGTTCGATTTACCTGCTCAATGGCCTGGTTATTGCGGAAATGCAAACGAAGGTAAACTATAGTTCATAGCTGCCTTTTTTTAAAGCATCACTTGTGTTGTTATATTCTGCTTATGTTCAGGATTTACTATAGATCCTTTACGGGAATTTGTGATAACTCCAGATAGTCAAGATTATTTTACATTAAAATTACAAACACCGCCAGTTCGTTCACTTGGTGATCGAGTCAAAATTGAGTTTAAAGTGCAGCCATCAGGATGCTTCAATGGTACGCGATGTACTAATTTCAATACAATTGTTTTTTCTGGAGAAAATTGGCAAGTACCACAACAAGTTAACATGTCTTTTGTTGATTATGGTTGTTGCATATACGATCTTATTGCAAGTGGTGGGGGATACGATTGGCAATATTCATCATCAGGAATTATTGTTTTCGCATGTGATGAACGAGATAATTATGGCTGCAGAGGGAAAAAACCATGTATTTGTTGAAAATATTTTCAAACAAGACGAATCTTAATTAAGACTGACGCCTGTGAATAACAAAACCGTTTCTACTATATTTAAACTAAAAAAAAAGAATTTTGGTTGATGATGATCACTGAATATGGTGGAATTCATAAATATTTTAAAGTCTAAAATTAATTTTCTTAATATTTTATTGAATAATGAAGTAAAAATCACATTACAAATTTCTAAGAATTGATATTTTATTTTTTTCGATTTGAAAATATAATATACTTCATTGTTCATTTGAATAACTCAAAAATGCAAGTGAGTAGTAGTTCGTAGATCCATCAATCGACGGCGAACTTCAAGATGTCAAGAGTGTGAGTGCAGATATACAGGAAATGAATACTCGCACCCACACCCACATCCTCAAGTTGTTTACGGTGAATTTTCAATTATCAAATATTTAATTCAAACCACTAATCAAAGATCTACAAATTATGGAAGGCTGAGATAAATAATATGCATTTTAGTCGAGCCTTCAATACGATTTTCTAGCAAAAGCTGTGAAAAAGCTCACTTTTGTGCTTTTTCCTTTTTTCATTAAAAAAAACTATTTTCCCGACACTTAGAAGATCGAACAAAAATACTTCAGAAATCAATATTAGAAAAACCTACAGTGCACGATTCGATGGATCTTCATTTCCTCTTTCTAACGGTGAAAGCCGCAGTTCTCTATCTTGTTTCTAACAAAAGTTATTCAAAAAAAACACTCACTAACATTCATAGAACGGTGACACATGCGAACAAAACAGATCTTATCAAAATTATATTAGTTGAAATATGATCAAATAGCATAGAAAAATAGAGCATTCTTTTCTCTATCACCCTATATAGAAAGAAAGTTTCCTAAAGATTAGTATACAGTATTAAAGTATCACTGCCCCTACTTTTGATATGCCCTAAGTAGGTGAGACAAATATGTCCCACCGGCCTCAAAGGGTTAAAAACGAATAGAGCTGTCTCAGTGAATGAATGTTCAAAGATTTGTTGACAGCGTAAAATTTTTAAATGCATATTTTTTACACAGTTATTGTATATCAATTGAATCTTGTTGAAAACATGAATCTAATGCGAAATCATATAAGAATAAGCAAAAATGCTTAGGCTTAGAGAAGGGATAAAAGAAACTGGCTTATGGGTGATCACAAACTAGTATTTTATGAATAGTTTGAAGAATAATGGCAAAAAAATCACTTCTTTGCTCCCTAAAATATTTTGTCTTTTTTTCGTTGGGAGGGTGTGGATTTGCTCTCCAATTAGTCACACCCACACCCCACGCTCTGTAGGAAAGCGGAGGAGAGGAGAGCAGTAGGTCCAAATTTCTACCCTATATACTTTAACACTCCTTCTAGATTGTGTTTCACAAAAATTATGTAAGATTTGTTTTCACGATCTTGTCTCAAGAACTTTGTGAAATCCTGAAGTCAAAAGTTAATAAGATTTCGTAAGGTCTCATCATGATGCCTTGTATACTCATTTTACTTATAAGAAATCTTGTTGGATGTTAATATGATTTTTTCATCTGAGTTGATAAAAATGTAAATGTTTACACTAGTTTCATTTAGAGTATTGCATGGAGTAAGTCGTCAGGTACAGGAAAGGTACGAATGTGAAAGATAACAATTTATGACGGTACAAACTTAATTTGTAATAGTGATATTCATAAACATGTGAGAATATCTGTTTGTATTGCTGCTGTTTAATATCCACATTCTTGATCACATAGTTGATTGGTCGTTTTATTAAACTATAAGGGATGTATTAGAATACTGCAACTTGTAGATCGAGTACATGTATATGTAAGAAAAGTTGTACTCGTATATTAATCTAGTTTCGTTCACAAATGATAAATATATCATATTTCCTTTAGCCAGCCTTTTAAAATTATATTATAATCTAGTCAAATTTCATCAAATTATTTTACAATGACTTTTGATTTATATTTTGCTTTTTTATTTTTGCTAATAAACTAAATAAAATAAAGAATAGAAAAATAGAAGAAAAAATGATAATGTTGAAGCCATATGCAAAATAATGAACTAATTCAATATATAAAAAAAAAGAAGACATAAATAATTTAGAAATAAAAAATGTAAGTAAATGTTATCTGTTAGTTGGAAATCTATCTACTTGAATTTATTAATAGAAAGAATGTATTAAATATATATATGTATATCTATTGTTCATCGTGTTACATCATTAATCTATACATGAAGTTTTATATTTGTGGAACAGGTAAATGACGTATTTTAGATTTAATATTGTGAACTATAGATTGATCTACTGTAGGTATACGTCGAGAAATAGATAATCCTTGTTTATAATGTTGTAATGCTTGATCAATACGAGATATTTGTGCATAAATATCGCCTATAATTAAATATATATTAACTAATGATGGATCTCCGAAATTATTTTGTGCATGTTGTTTATTAAGTAAAGTTTGAAAAAAAGTTAATGCTTGATTAAAATCTTGTTTTTCCAAACAAATATTACCAAGAATAATGTAAAGATCATCTAATAATTGATCGTTAATTTGTTTATTAAGCAAGGTCTGAAAATAAAATAATGCTTGATCTAAATGGTGTTTTTCAAGTCGAAAATTATTTGTATATGATTTTGTTGTCGTTTTTGATCTTGTCATTGATAAATTTTTGTTAAATTTATTTTCTCTTAACTTCTTATTATCATCTGCATGTAGATGAAAATGATTTTTTTTTAAATAAATTTTTCCAATCATAGTATAAGTATCATTTATTGATGAAAGTTTAACTGATTTATTTTGTAATTGACAATCAATTAATTTATTAAAATAAATCAATGATTGATTGTAATTTTCTTTTTCAAAATAAATAGTAGCAATAGCTTTATATATATTTTGTAATGATGAATCATGAATTGCTTTTCGTTCTAATTCATTATTTAATAAGAGAAGAAAATATTTTAATGCTCTATCGAAATTTTCTTTTTCAAAAGAAATATTAGCTAAAATATAATATGTATCAATTAATATTGGATCTTTTTCCGAATGTGTTTTCAATTGTTCACGAAGATAGTTTTTAAAATAATGATAAGATTGTTCCAAATGACGTTTTTCAAAAAAAATATTATCAATAAGTTTAATTTTATTGATTGATTTGTCATGTAAGAGTTGATTATTGTTTTGTTTTTGATAAAATAATAATGTTTGATCAAAATGACGTTTTTTTAAATAAACTTTTCCTATAGAAGTATAAATTTCATTAATAGTTGATTGATCAAGTGGTTCTTTTTGAAAATAACAATCAAGTAAACGGTTATAATAAATTAATGATTGATCTAAAATACGTTTTTTATAATAAATTTCTGCAATGGTTTTATAAATATGAATCAATGAAAAATCTTCATATAGTTTTGTTTTTAATTCATTATTAAGTATTTTGAGATAAAATTGTAAAGCTTCATCTAAATTATTTTTTTCTAGTAAAAGATTTCCAAGATTTTGATAAGTATCACTTATTGATGTATCGTCTAATTGTGTTCTTTCTAATTGACTATCAAGTATTTTATGAAAATAAATTAATGCTTGATCACGATTTTGTTTTTTCGAATGAATATTTCCAATAGATCGATAAGTATCAACTACTGATGGATAATTCCATAATAATGTTTTTAATTGATTTTCTAAGACTTTTTCATAATAAAATACAGCTTTATCTAAGTTTTCTTTTTTCATATATGTGTTAGCTAAATTTCTATATGTATCTGCAAAGTCAGGATGATTATTTGGTAATGATTCTAATTGTAAATGAAGAGCTTTTTCAATATATTCTAAAGCTTTTTCATGATCATTTTTATCTAAAAACATTAATCCAATTGCATTATACGTATAAGAAACATCTGGATGAGTATTCGGAAGTTCTTTCAATTGATATTCAATTGCTTTATCAAATATTTGTGATGCTTTTTCGAATTCATTAATTGCAATATAAATCTTGCCCATATTGATATATGTATTTGCAATTATTGCATAGTCAGTTTTTGTTTGATGTTCAAGAGATTTTTCTAAATTTTCTAATGCCATATGATAATTTGTCATTTTAAAATGAACATCTGATGAAGCTGAATAAATTTTTGATAGATTATCATTATTTTTATTTGTTGATAAAGCTTTACCAAAACATTGTAAAGCATTTACATAATTAGATTGTTTACCATAGATTGAACCTAAATCATTATAACATAATGATACAAGTGAATGATCATTAAGTGATGAATTATTTAATAAATAATCTAATGCTTTATTAAGATTTGATATAGCTAAATGATAATCTTCTTTTTTACAATTAGCTTGAGCAAGTCCATAATAAGTATAAGCAAGTTCAATATCTTCTTTTACTAAATTTTGATCTAAAATTTTTTGAAAATGTTCTTGAGCAAGATCATATTTAAGCATGTGAATAAAATAGTTTCCAAGTGAAACAAATTCATTTTGTCCTTTTAATTCTTGTTTTAATGATGATAAAAAATTTTTTATATCTGGATCATCTAATGAACATAATGTTAATTTAGCTATCCAAAGATTTATTTTATCATCATAAGATATATTTTCAATACGAAATATTGAAGATACCGTAAACAGAACTTCTTCTTCTTCTGGAATAGCACTAAGACGTTTTATATCAGCATATGGTTTACTTAAATAATTTATATTAACATCTATTTCTAATAATATTGATGTTAATTCATCATTAGGTGGTGGTTTACTTGTTGCAAATTCTAAAGCTTTTTTTCTATTTGTACTTGTTGATAAAAATGAATTCATTGAAATCAATTCTTTCTGAGTTGATTTAAGACGAATAACTTCATCTTTACTAATCAATTGTCCTCGATAAACTTGTATAATTGGTGTTTGTTTTTGTTTAATAAATAATTTATGTTCATCATCTAATTGTTTATTCATATCTCTAATAAATGATCCAAATGGAATAATATCATCA